CAGACAGTAAGCAATCAAGCAAAAGTTGACTTGCTGTTGCGCTAGTAGATGTGCATAGCAAAAATCTTCAAAAATTGAAATGAAACGTACCAAGCCTCAAAGCACATTGCAGACATACAACATGTTCAACATTGGGACATGACAAGACCCATAGCTTTGCAGCTCAAACAAGATATCACTCTATTTTTTTAAAATTTAATTTTTTAAATTAAATCTAATCCCTTATTCTATGGCGACATCGTAATCGGTCTAAACATTTCCCGGTTTTACAAAATGAGTTGTATGGGTTTCTAAATGAAATTCTTAAAATGCCTAACTATTTTATGACCTTTATGAATATGAATGTGCCGCATTGAAGCATTTTAAGTCTTCCTGTTATACTTGCCTATGGATGGATGGCTGGAAGTATGGATGTACATGTGTAGGTATTAGTATGGATGTGCATGTATTTATATATATGTGAATCTGGCAAACACGGCAGAACAATTATTTCAAATGAAGGTACAGAGCTCACTGCTTTCATTACGCTAGTATATCCCGCAATGCATAAGGTAGACGTTATATTGTCTTGGGCAGTTAAAGATTGGATTGATATAATCAAGCGTTAGGTATGATTGCATTAGAAGCGACTCAGAAATGTTAATAACTTGAAGCCTTCGATATCACGCTCAGCTAGAAATTAAGAAAGGATAATTCCGTAGTGGGAAAAGAAATATATGATGCTTTGGAAGGTATAAGTCAAGGTTAGGCATTAATTGTACAAACAAAAATGTCGCACGTCTTTAAAATTACTAAGCAATTTGGAAATTTTTTTTCCTGCAGCACAATGAGCTAAAGCTATACGCTGATCACTCAGAGATTGCGAAATACCTCGGACTTCATGTTCCCTATACCCGCAGCTTGCTTTCGTTCCTCCATCTCCTTCTGAGTTCCTTTCTCATCTCCCGGTTTCTTTTCCTTTTGTGCCGTCTTCCCCAGTTCCTTTTCGCTATCGGGGCACATTTTCTCCTCCACACATATTTTTGTGGCATCGTCGTATTGGAGCCGTTCAAGATTCATCCTAAACAATTGCAACAGTTTCTTTAGTGTGATTTAATCTTGAAAATTAACAGCAAAACGCACTTATTAATCAATTCGCAAACGTTTCCGTTATCGAGAGATGTTTGGTTATTTTTCCAACATTCGTCTTGCATCTTCTTAATAAATGTCAAAATTAGCTAATAAAGGTACAAGGTTGCACAGTAGAGCTCATTGCTAGTAGCTTACAAAAGTCACCATCTTTTGATACTAATCACTATAAACGTATTTACAATGTGTAAGTAATGAAAACAGGAAGATTTAGAATCCAGAGCGGAAGCTAATACTAATTTCCTGCGTTTTACCTGTGAACAATGCAATTTCGTATACTCACCTTCTCAAAGTCGGCTTCCAATTTTTGACGATCCTTTAACCTTCCTATAACAGCTTTGCAAAA